AGGCAAACAAGATACACGGCAAGGTTCACAGTGGAGTATGAAGCTACCTCCTACATCACCAATCTAACTCGTCGAAATCATCAAGAGATTTCTGGTCGATGCGTCGCTGTGGGCCCAGGAAGAAGAGATATGTTGTATTTTGTACATGAAAAGTCTACACCAGAGCAGCCAGTGAAATTTCGGTACACTAAACAACAGCAAGACAAGACGTGGAAAACCAAAAAGTACCGTCGAATCTTGCAAGATCTCAAAGCCCAGGATCCTGATGTCGTTCAAGCTGAGCAAGCCCTTTCTCAACAACCAAGCAGCGCCGTATCCGTAGAAGACTTTGGCCGCTTCCTTCAAGTCAGATCTGAACAGTCTGCCGTTCTCAGTCGATTCTATGGACATACCATCACAAACCATGATAATGGATACCCCCTCTTTCGCAAGATCCGTCTTTCAGCGTATTTCAACAGACAACGTGCCGATCAAAAGCTTATTCAAGACTTACGCGCCAAGTTTGGAGAAGACGCTGTGTTTGTGATGGGAAACTGGCCCGCTCCCCATGCTAGGTATCATGAGCCCATCCGTGACCTTGGTTTCCGAAGATTCCTCAAGAAACATGGATTACAAGTCTATCTTATAGACGAGTACAAGATCAGTAGGTGCTGTCCAACATGCCACAACGAGAGCCTCCACACGTTCCGTCGTGTTCCAAATCCACGACCGTATCAACGTGAGCGATATCCTACTGTTGTCTGCCATGGCCTTTTAAGGTAATAATACATGAACCACTTGTATGACTTTATACTGATTAAACATTGCTTGTAGATGCACCAATCTATACTGTAGACCCGCCATGGCAGCTCCAGATAGATATCGCTTTTGGAACAGGGATGTTGCTGCTTGTCTCAACTACATGCACATCCTTCGTGAGCTTCGACGTAATGGCATGGTTCCTCATAGGTTTCACCGGGCTGCTGCTGTTCCTACAAGACGTCGAAGAAGAGTGGGCGATCAGGAGTAACCAAGAACTAGAATACGCTAAGACGATGATTCTCCGTCCTAGTTATCGCTAGGACACATCTAGATGCCTTCGGGGTAAGTTGTATGTAATAATTTTCTTACATGACTAACTGTATAATTCTTTATATTCTCTCTTTGGTACTTATTACTCTCACTTGCATGTCGTCTCCTTCGCACGTATTTTATTTTTAACCTTTGCGTAAATACTTTTTTTAATATGCGCCAATTATTTTTTTCATACACGTCATAATTTTATCCTCTTTCTGAAATTTATTTTTAATAAAACAGTATCAAGAGGAAAAGAGCAAGAATAAGCCTTTATCCATTGTTTTCGTGAGATTGATCTATAAATAAAAAAAAAAGTAAAAGGCTACTTTCTAAACATAAACTATTGATCAAAAGAGAGAGAAAGGTTGTATGTATGACAGAGAAATAGTTATGGTTGCATAAGAGTACATCAACTTCCTTAGAAAGGATAGCTACATAGATCAGAATTACAATGTAATAATACTAAGCTATTTCATAAGAGACAAGGTGAAAGAAGAAGGGAATGATAAAAAGCTAAAAGACTTGATGTGGGACAATTTGTCAGAAAGTTGGCCTATTTCATTACTGGCCGAGAGTATATCAATTTCCTGATTTTACATCGTATCTTTGCTAGTATTACCTTGTTGATGACAAGTCCATCTATGAACGGTATATATAATGAGAATGAAAAAGAGTAACCGTGTTGATCTTATCTTGAGCTTGAGCGCATTGGAGATACCCCTAAGTGTAGGGTGGGAGTTATGAAAAAGAAAATTTCACAATATTAACTAATCCTTCTGTGTTTATGTAGAAGATCAAAGACATTATCTCCTTTATTTCACTCGATATTAAATGTATTACTAAAGTGGTAAATAATACAATGGCCACCTGCTCTTATTCTGATTTTACCATCGATTGTGTCGCGTATAAGCCAATGCATTATTAAACCATACGTTGAAAAACAAAAAATCAATAGTTTCCAAGAATTTCATGCATTTACAGTGTTCGTACTTTAAATTCAGACAATTAACACTAATAATTGCTCTTTTTAGACATAAAGAAAACAAAGGCTATATGTATTCCAATAAGAAGATCGCCTTGCACAATGCTACCAAAACAATCATCGGAAAGCTTGACCACAGCATGCAGCTTCATCCAAAACTGGCTCATAAAACAACAAAGAAGAAAAGAAGTAACAGAAGAAAGAAAAGCAAGATTGCTCCGAATGAAGGTCAGATATGTTGTTGCCTACGGAGACACTTCAATTTCTGCAAGCATGAAATCCAGAGCTCCAGTACCAGTGAAGGTAATTTTTACAGCATGAACAACTGTCATCAAAACATCAATGAGCCTAACTTATCTAACTATAAGGGGGTACAAATGGCGCTTTCCAAAAAATGTATAGTTAAGGTAGACGAATATAGAACAAGCAAAGTGTGCAGCAGCTGTGGTAATGAGCTACAAAATTGTTATGAGCCAGCGGGCTCCATGGTTTGCTATCACAGGTACAGGATTAACCATAGATACCTATTTTGTGGGATATATAGAATCTAAATCCTAAAAATCATAGAAAAAGAAGAAGAAGGCTGAAAAATGAAAAGAGAAGTAGACAAGTCTGTTTGGGGACAGACAAGAAAATTATGTGCAAGAGTAGCGAATGTGTCGAAAGAAGAGTACCAGGTATTTTCAAAGGAATTTAGAATGTAGAAATGTTAACAATGAAATAGCCTAGCAGCAGAGCATTTACCCATTGAAAGTGTGCAGTCACTGTTCAGTCGGTAATCGTATGCGAGTAAGTCCAATATCTGTTTTTTATATGTACCAGTAGCTTAATACGGTTTCGATAGATCTGGAATCGAGATGTGAATGCAGCAAGGAATATTCGGTCAATTTTGACAAACTATATTTCATCTAGCTACGATATTCAATCAAGACCAAAGTCGCTTCAAAGAGGCACAAGAAATGTTCAGGGCTTTTAGGACAAGCCACTCAGCCTTTTTTATTGGGCCTACTAATTTGGTAAGCGGAAAACCAAAAAAAAAAGTGACGTAACTAATGTCATTTTTAGGGCGTGCGCCTACAATTAGTCTAAGAGGACTTTTGATTGGGTTTAATGTTCAGTACCAGGGATCTTTTTTTTTTTTAAACATTGAAAATAATGTTCTCGCCTGCTATAAAGAAGAGTGTAAGGTCCCCCACATGTTTGAGTAATTAGCCGTTCACTAACGCTTCATTCTAGCTTACTGTTGCTGCTGCTGGTGCTGTTTGGGCATCTACTGCGACCACTGCCTTTGCTGAAGAAAAGAGAACAAAGGTATTTATAAATGTTGTAGAAGCAAAATGGAACTAATGACCTGCGTCAATGTAGCTCAGTATTTATGACGAGCCTGAACCACAAGTTGTCATTGTTGAATCACCTACCAAGCTGGAGGAGCACGTTTACATTGCCCAAAAGTGTGCTAATGATACCTTGGAGAAAGGAAAGGTTAGAAAAGATTCGATAGATCCCCTTTTCTCGATTAAACTGACCTTGACTTATAGAGCCATATTGAAGGATGGACTCAAAAATACCAGCAATTGGAAAATGATATTACCAGTAAAGTGAATATTATCAAAATGGAGTATTGATAAACTGATAACTATTATTATAGCAAGCATCAGCAACACAATTGACAAAAATGAAGAAATCTATCCTAATATCTTGTATGTTGGTGTTGCTGCATTAGCCGGTACTATCATTGCACGTAACAGTAAGTGAAGAAGATATGACATCGGGATATAGGCTTATATGTTTTCTAGGAAATGTCGTTCTTCGCTTTTTGACTTCAACCACATTGGCGGTTGGAACATCATACTACTTACTTCCTAAAACAACCACCAACGTCTATCATCAGCTTGAAAGATTGGAGAGAAAATATCCTCAACTTCAAGCAGCTCACCAGACTGTTAAGGGCACAGTTGATGATGTTTATAAACAGATTGACAATACTGTCGTACAATTACGTGGTGCTGTTGATGAAAATGCCGCCAAGTTACGTGAACAGATTCAACAAAATACTCAATTTGTAAAGAGCCAAGTCAACAACACTGTCGGTGCTACAAGCTCAGAAGCAAAAGATAAGTTTGAAGAAGCAAAGAAGAAGGTCGAAAGCATGTACTCAACAAGATCCAATGTAAGAAGCAATTAAGCATATCTATCAGTCTGACTAACCTTCTTTTTGTATGATTAGCCTGGTGTTGAAGAAACACTGAAAAAGAACAACTAATATTATAGAGCCTTGTTGGCGAGAGCATCCTTCATTTCTTTGAATTCGTTTATTGATTTCATATATATTAAAAGCAACGCAGCCAAACAGTGTGCCAGAATGTTTTTGTTCTAAATGAAATTTACTGAATTAGTCGAGCATGTAATCGACCATAGGTGTGTTATGGTATTGTTAGCATCGGGTGACCTTTGTACTGCCACAGGAGATAACTGGGTAGACTATTATCCAAAGAGAGTTTAGTAAAGAAAGGGAATTAAGATAAAAGATGACACACTTTTTTCTTGTGTTGATTCTTTATGCAGTGATAAAGTCCCAAAGTAAGTGTCGTCGTGATGTTGACGGTGTCATCTCCTGAGCCTTCTCTTCCTTCAACAGTTGGTCTCATGATTCTTGTATTTTCTTCAACAACCTAAAGATGCCTGTTACTACACTGTAAGCCAAGCAGCTCTCTTTGTTTACTTTCAAGTTGCTTGTTATCTTGTCTACGAAATCAGACTTGGAAGCAACTCTAGCTGTCTCCATTACTCTATAAATAGATTGTGATATACATGGTAAATAAGCCATAGCAGAAGAGGTTCTCTAAAGCAAAGCAGTCAATGTATGTTATAACAAGTATTAGCCAACCTTGACATAAGCATTGGAAAAGATGAGCGGATATGACTGACAAGTCTTTCGTATAATAGCGCCCCACAATGCTTTCTCAACGTATTCTAGCATGACGGGGTTATCTTTACTTAACCATAGCTTTTGAAACTCTCTAGGATGTAAAAAGAAAAGGATAATGGGTTAAGGACAATAGTATATTATGTTTTTCTTAAAGAAAAAAAAAAGGATATTTGTTGATGTCCAATTGAAATGAATATGGATTTCATCAAGTATACCATGAGGAACAGTTGATTCCAACAGATAGGATACAGGTGTATTAATGAAGGCACTTGGCATTCTAAACATACAATATCCTTTTTTCTGAGGTAAATCACACATCAAGTTAAGTCCACATTTGCCCATCACCTATAAACAGCTCAATATGTTGCTGTCACTATATCAGTTTACTTACATTAACCAGTGCAGTAGACATCCATGCAGTATATTCAAGAGCATCTAACCCATTTAGTTGGCAAACACAGTATAGATCAAGTTAAGGATGTGTTCATATAGGGATAGGCTTATAAATGTATATAATAAAAAGGATATCTGCACTATCAATTGACTTTGCTGATTCAAGACAATATCTAACTTGTCCAGGTCCACTGTTTTGTATTCGAGTTCGTAAGGTAGATCATAAGATATATGCTGGTAGCAAGTTAACTCGCATGAAAAATTCAATTGGTTGAATAATCCTTTGCTTTTGCTAGCTGGCACCTTATAATTTATTTCCCTTTGACGTGATATACTCTTTCTCAAGACATGCTGTTCAGGAGAAAGGACCGATATAGTCCTATCTCTAGCTCTATCTTCTATTGACTGAGTATTCTGATTAAAGTCTAAGAGATCATCACTTAATAAATAGGACATGGTGTTGCAATCATAGTCTTCGTTTGAGGTATCAATATGTGGTACACTATTGCTGCTTGCATTCAAATCATAGCTGCTAGGATTGAATTGAGGCATTTGTACTGAATCAGTAGTTTGTATTTGACTATAATTATTGGTCGTTTCTTCTTGGCTCCAAAGCATCCCTTTAGAAAGAAACGAATATAAAGAAATGGATGACAACTAATGCTTAAAGAATAGCGTGTTCGTTGTTTGAATAATAAAAGTGGGGAAATATGTGTAACAATTGCTCTTTACTTTTGAAGTACGCGACGTTTTGACAAGCTCTGATCTTAAGTGACAACAGTTCTTTTTTCTGTATTCCTTTGAGAATCCACGAAAGAAGAAAAGATATATTTTCTTCTAGTTGGTGATGTCTAGTTTATATATATCATCTGTCTTTAGACGATGTCAGACATTTGTAGCCCTCTCATCTCTCTTATATATCCAGTTCGTATCCTCATTTGCTAGTTCCTCTTTCAACTTTATAAAAAATGTTGTCAATTTACTCTTGCTATTTGCCATTTATAAACAAAAATATCACAGAGGGGGTTATTGGATCAACATGCTCTGTCTTTTTCACCTCCAGATCACGATGATCATTTTATGGCACGTTGATTTGATGTTACAAACGCGTAACGTTCGATTTTGTAGCAAAATGGAAATTGTTGCTTGAAGATCATCTTCATCATGTAATGGCCGTAAATTCGATTTTAGTTCTGTCATCAGGTCAATACTCAGACAACTTGTTCCCCCATATCTCAATCAAGACGGTTTCAGGGCAAACCATCGACAAAGTTGAGTCGATGTATGACTTCCAAAAGCCTCGTATGCAAATGGCGGTGGTCACTGATATGATTAGTATTATTCAGGATCTCAATCAGTCGAGATAAAGCGAGCATTAAGCTTTTGAAGCTGGATCTCTTGCCAAATGAAAGTGGATTCGTCCAAGACAATCATTGGATTAGTCAAAAAACTGCTACGGACGTCTATTGCAGGAGATGTTTATGAAAACGAGCTAGTACCCGATACGCTGATCCATTTTTAAGTGGACTATTTGATAATCCTGATGAAGGCGTGTTTCTTCGTTGGACAAACGAGATGACATTAGAAGGCCGCAAAAATGAAGATTTGTGGTCATATCCGTTGTGTTTACATCCCTCATATACTCTTTCAACTTTATAAAAAGATGTTGCTAATTAGCTCTTATAACGTACTTTATTGATAACGGAGATATCGTAAATGAAATAGTTGATTAACTATACAAGTATACGACTACTACTACTACTAACAACTGAAACTTCTCAGGAAGTAAGCATGAACTTCCTCTTATCAAGAATGGTTAATAATGCACGATATTTACATGTCGAATAAAATTCTCAAATATGACAAATCTGTATTTACAAACACTTACAAGACTTGTCTTTATAAGATGATATTCTCTGTTTTCTGATGAGATATATACGTGCATATGGGTTACTGTTCCCATCGTTATTTGATGTTGTTGATTTGCTGAGAAGGGATTAAATATCTCTTAAATGATTATCCGGAATAGCGGGTTGCAGTAAGACCCGGTTTTATCCTTGCTTTATCCTGCTTTCTCCATTTAGTCTTGTTGAAAACAACAAAGCTAAAGTTACTATGTGCTGATATCATGTAATTCAAATCCAAAGTCTGTCGGCTGTAGTAACTAGAGTCAAAAAGAAAAAAGTAGATGTTGTCTTTTTCGTTTTCACGTGATACTAGCAGACACTTCCTCTTTATTACAGTTTACATAAGGGCCAAGTATAATGATCCAGCGGCGGTTCCTGCCAAGACAGCATAACCAGTGGTGTAGACGCTCTTAATATCAAGGCATTTTCCAACATCCCAAAGCTAAAAAACACGTAGCTGTTAGTAAACACGATATTTGTCAAAACATAAATCATTACCAAGTGTCTGACACCGTTAAGACTGTGGAAGACAAAGGGAGCAGCTAAAGTGGTCTTGGCAACAACCTTTGCAGCGAAGGGAGCAGCAGCAGCAGCAGAAACAATGCTAGCGGTATCGACAGTGTAACCAAGTGCAGGTGCAGCCAAGTAGGCAAGGGCACTCAAGTAAAAAACTAATGTTCATATTTCCAGTTAGTAAGCAAGTTATCAACTTTAATGATTGATATTACCTCCTCCAACAGCAACACCAGTAACTCTGTGTGCAGCGGATAAGTACCAAGTAATTTGAGGTTGATAGATAGTCAAGTGAGGAGAAACGGGACGAAGCTTACGTTGTTGACGTAAAAGTTCAGATTCGGCAGCAGCACATTGTTCTTGAGCCTTGCGAGTGGCATTAAAGTGTCTATTGAATAGCTGTTTATCGTCTCTTCTAGCTGGTCTCTTATTTTTTTTTTTTTACCTAACGCCGAATGCAGGAACAGAAGTGATGTTTCTGAAAACGACAGGGTCTACAAATAAATGAGTCAATGCCTTTGTGTGCTGATATGTTTAGAATAGTACTTTGGGCAACTGTCTTCAATACGGAGCGAGTGGCCAACATTATTGTAAAAACAGACAAGAGTGGGGTGTGAAATGCGGGGAAATGAAGCAAAAAACAAGCTAGGGGCTTTTATATTCTACATCCAAAAGGAGCAGAGCGGACATCTCTTCAGCGACAAAATGATGACGTAAAGGATTTTCACCAATCACAATTGCGTATTTCTGCTAACTTACTGTTAAAGCATAAAGCATTCTTTTTTGTACTTGCTTGTGCTAGAAAAAGACATGAATAGTAATTTAGATACCATGGAACAAATGTAACCTGGTATAATTCAATGAATAGTAGTAAAATCTTTTCATATTGAATGATCCTTTCATTTGTGCTTTAGTTCTCTCATTTCCTCCTATACACCAGCCTATTGTATTCATGAATGTACAACTTAACCCAGATCCAACAGAAAAAGCCCCTTTGCTAAACATAATTAATTGAAGTATTGAAATCTGTAATATGATTGGACACACATATTATGCTATGTTATTCCATTGTTGTGCAATTGAGACAAAGAGGGGGTATTCTTTGAACGAGGCAAACACGTTTAAAACAAGGGATAAAAATATACATAATCACTTTATATTTAAAAATCGGTTCTATAATATGGCATATTGTGTAGTTTGAGCTAAAGAAAGCTTTCAAGTGTGAATGCTAAAGTGAACCACTCTTACGTACTCTTTTCTCTTTAAGGGGAGATGACCTATTAATTCTGGTGATAGAAATTATATTGAACTAAAAAGGAGCCTATTTTTTCTTTTAAACGATAGACTATACGTACTTGTGCTTTTCGTATACGTTATACAATAAAAATGGTTTGCACTACATGATCTACTTGCCTTTGTTGCTAATAGTAATCAAATAAACTTTGGCGCATTGCTTGTTATGCAATATATCAAGTCATTTCCTAGAGTTCATGTGCGCTCCCTTTAGTCACTCTTGATATTCTTTAAAAGACAAACTAGCATCGCAAGTAATTTTAATATTACTAAAACAAAAACGGGGGTTTCCTCTTTTGAAGGTTCACAGGTAAGAGGATCATCACACGCTTACTCCAAAAATAATTTTCTCATTTATTTACTATCTCTCTCTTTTTTACTTTTTTTTTTTATTCCATAATGGGTCAGTCTCCTTCAACAGCAGCTTCAAAGCATGACAATGCATCAACTCGGACATTGCATTCAACTTCAATTAAGTCCAACAAGCCAATGTCCTTTTTTAAGAAAATCTCACAGCGCATTCAACCTTCTCGAAAGTTTTCTAGACAAAATAGAGCAAACACTGCAGCGACCTCAACAACTCAGACAGCAGCCACTGAAAGAAATAGACCTTCAGAGAGAAGAATAAGAGGAATGAACAGACAAGGATCGAGCATCCTAATGAACTCTGGCTCCTCCACTACTTCTTCAGTCCGTCGTGCAACGCAAGAGGCTACGCTTGCAGCTGCAGCAGTTACAGGTCCACCTGCCTTACCAAACCTTATCCAGTATATACACCAGATACAGGATCATAACAGTAGTAGTAGAAATAGTGTGATGTCTTCGGATTCTACTGGCCTCTTTTGGGAGCTATCTAACGGCCGAGTTCATGCAGGCGATACGAATTCAGCCAATCTTGGTGTGACTGAAAATGAACAGCAGACAGGCGGTACTTCGTTTTTGCGACATTTACGCTCAGCACACGATCCTGAAAACAGTAATGGTAACACTAGTCATACGACAGTAGCATCATCGGGCGTCTCGACAACTAGCTCAAGAAGAATGCGTATATTAGTTATTGAATACATGCAAAATTCTACTCAAAACCTTACACCTGATAATGTCTCTATAAGCAATACTTCTATTCAACAACAACCACCACCAAGACAGCCATCAACGCCTACCTTTGGTCGCAGGTTATTAGGCTTACGACGTCCTAGATCGGCCATATCCACTTCATCTTCTACTGAGACAGTTCATTCAATGCCATTAAGTATGCATACAACAGCGACGGGAGGTCATGGTGTACAGCAGGATGGCCAATGGGTAGTCTACGTATTGAATGGACAAAATGCCTTACAGATGTTATCGTCCACCTTGGTTGATGATAACCCATCATATGAAGATTTGTTATGGTTGACCAACATCATTGGCCCTGCTGTACCAAACACAACAACTCAAGCAGCTATTGATGAGGCAGTACCTGTCGTTGCTTGGTCTGATGATACAAAGAAAGAAGTAAAGGATGAACAATGTTTGGTCTGCCTTGATGAGTTCGACTTGAAGCAGCCTGTAAGAATACTAAAGTGTCATCATGTGTTTCATAAAGAATGCGTAGATAGATGGTTATGTGAAGCTCACAACTCATGTCCAGTATGTAGAGGTGTTCCTGTATAAAGAAGGCTATTATTTAGCCTATTTTATAGTTTATATCTTACATGTGTATATATATAATATTTATTATGATTAAATAAAGATAAACATCCTTTAAATTTACAGTGATAGAAGTAAAACTTCAAGTTGCGAGTGATATCAAGCTTATAATTGCTTATAAAGTTTCCATTGGTCAATATTGTATCTCAAACTCACTTTAGGAGAGAGACTACAAGTGAATCTTGTTTATTTCAAACAAACATCAAAAGAAAAGATATTAAATGATGACATTCGTTATTTTATAATTAAAATGGATATATTATCATGCAAGAATTGCTTTAGAGTGCAGTCCCTTAAACAAGTTTCCCGCAAATCAAAAATGATGATTGTATGTACCACTGAAATTGATGTATGAAAAAGGAAAAAAAAAGAGAGACATAGAATACATTTATATATACATTTGTATATAAAATTCGAGATCAAAAAAATCTATGTTCAAAGTTGGATGATTTCAGGGCCATTTCTAAAACAAGGTTCACTCCGTCCCTAAATTTCCAATAGACCCGAGTCTGCTTGGAAGTTTTTGATGTTTTAGTAATTTTCGAGGTCAGCCATTTAATGTAAATATAAAATCTGGAAACAGTTTTCTTTTTTTCCCCTTCTCTCTTCTTTTTTTGTTTTCATATTCACCCTTTCCAGTCTCTCTCTCTCTATCACTCACTCATTCTCTCACTCTCCCATCATTTGTCCAGTTTCATAACATCTATTTTGGATTAATATCATCATGAGTGGAGGAAATATCAAGGTCGTCGTAAGATGTCGACCGATGAATTCAAGAGGTACACACATATACACACACATGTGAAATAAATAAAATATATAAACATCTTTAAACAGAAATTGCGAGAGGAGCAGTGGGATTGATTCGTATGGAAGGCAACCAAACTATTATTTCAAGACCACCTGATCAAAGAACCGGAAAAGACTCTGAAGACGTAAAGGCCTTTACATTTGATAAATCTTATTGGTCTGCAGATAAGAATGACCCACGTTATGCAGACCAACAAACTGTATATAATGATTTGGGTGTTGACTTGTTGAACCATGCGTTTGATGGATACAACTGTTGTATATTTGCATGTAATGTCATATATACATATACATATATGCATGTATTGACATGGTTTCGTTAGATGGTCAAACCGGTGCTGGTAAATCATATTCCATGATGGGTTACGGTGAAGATAAAGGTATCATACCACGAACATGCTCAGCACTATTTGAAAGAATACACCAAAATCAAGATCCTAATTTGACACATCGGGTGGAAGTGTCGTACATTGAAATTTACAACGAAAAAGTACGCGATCTACTCAATCCGAAAAACAAGGGAAATCTCAAAGTACGTGAACATCCTTCCTTGGGTCCTTATGTAGAAGATCTTTCAAAATCCGTCGTCACTTCATTTGATGATATCGAAAACTTGATGGACGAAGGCAATAAGGTATATTAAGTCGGAACTGTCAATTTTTAATAATCACACTTTTTTTAAGGCACGTACTGTGGCAGCCACCAACATGAACGAAACCTCTTCTCGATCTCATGCTGTATTCACCTTAATCCTCACACAGAAACGGTTGGACGATCTTACAAAATTAGAAACCGAAAAAGTCGCACGTATCAGTCTAGTTGATTTAGCTGGTAGTGAAAGAGCAAACAGTACAGGAGCTACAGGAGCGCGATTAAAAGAAGGTGCCAACATCAATCGATCGTTAACCACTCTTGGTAAAGTCATTGCTGGACTTGCAGAACAAGCAACGCAAGACGGAAAGAAGGGGAAAAAAAAGGAAGTGTTTATTCCGTACAGAGACTCGGTAATGTTTACTTTATCAAACACAAAACTGAGAAACAAACTCATGTTCTATTACTATAGGTACTTACTTGGCTTCTTAAAGACTGTCTCGGAGGAAACTCTAAAACAACAATGATTGCAGCGATCTCGCAATGTGATTATGATGAAACACTAAGTACACTTCGATACGCAGATCAAGCAAAGAAGATCAAGAACAAGGCTATTGTGAATGAAGATCCAAATGCTAAGCTAATTCGAGAACTAAAGGAGGAGCTTGAGGTGCTGAGAGATAGGTTGAGGACATACGCACCAGAGGAAGTAGAACAACTTGCGGCTAATAGTGCATACAAGTCTGGCAATAATAGTACTACTGCAGCTAGTCGGTCATCAGCAGCAGCTATACCCAAAAAGAGTATATCAGAAATCGAAATAAAAGATAGTAAAGGAAATGTAAAGAAAATGTCCAAGGAAGAGATTGTTGAACAATTACAAAGTTCAGAAAAACTGCTGGCTCATCTCAATGAAACTTGGGAAGAACGACTGAAAAAGACAGAGCAGATACACTTGGAAAGAGAAAAGGCATTAAAAGAACTAGGTATTACTATAGAAAAAAATGAAACAGGCGTTTATGCACCAAAGACGATACCCTTCATTGTCAACCTAAACGAAGATCCTCTCATGTCTGAATGCTTGATGTATCAGATTAAACCTGGTACAACAAAACTGGGCAGAATGGATAGTGATGTGTACGCAGATATTCGTCTAAGTGGGCCCAACATTCAAGACGATCATTGTACATTTGAAAATAATAATGGTGTAGTCACGTTAAGCCCTGGAGTAGACTCTCTTGTCATGGTCAATGGTCAAAGAATAACCAAGCCACGACAGCTCAAGAATGGGTATCGTATTATTCTTGGATTTTATCACATATTCCGCTTCAACAACCCAGAAGAGGTCAGAAAGGAAAGGGAGAACAGTATCAGTGTCAATAATAACCTTAGTCTCAGTGGCAGTCTACCACCTGATTCTCCTATTACAGACACAAACCCCAACATGACTGGATCAGAAGTGATTGACTGGAACTATGCCAGAAGAGAAGCAGTACTAAATTATTATTCTGCAGAACAAAACCTCAGTGACTTGAATGACGAAGAACTAGAAAAGTTGTATGACGGAATAGCAAAGATTAGAAATTCGAGAAGAACAAGATGTGAAAGTAGAACGGATAATAATGATGACAATGAATCAACTACAACAAGGGATTCATCTTATAGGAATTCGTCACTGGTTAATATGGAAGATGGTCTGGAAAGTGTATACACAGATATCACATCAACAAGCGAATACATGCTAGAAGAAAAACTAAAGCAGGACAAAGAAAGAATGCAGAGAGAATTGGATAACCAAAAGAGGGTCTATGAAGCCAAAATACAAAGAATGTCTAGACAACTGTCAGCGCAGGTGCAACAGCCTATTCAGCAATACACTGAGAGAGAAATGCAGCTCATTACAAAAGTACTTCACAGGTGGAAAAAGCTACGAACTGTTGACATGGCAGAGGTTATATTAACAAACGCCGTTATGTTAAAAGAAGCAAATATCATTGCAAGAGAGCTTAAGAAGCAAATCATATACCAGTTTACCATTATACAACAAAATGAGCCACTAACATCCAGCTTGGAATATAACCTTAGTCAATTTGAAACAGATGAAGATTCAGCGTTAATAACAACACCAAAGCCATGTATTGGAATAAGAGTCATTGACAAAAAGAATCAAGCGATCTATATTTGGTCGATTGAAAAACTAAAGCAGAGATTGCATAAAATGCGAAACCTGTACAACTTTATGGATCGACCTCAGTATAGAAAACACTTTAATTGGGAAGACCCTTTCTTTGAAAATCCTTGTCCAAAATATACCATGATCGGCTTATCCTTTGTACCCATGGTTAATCTCATACATCAACAGCCTTATGAAGGTTCATTTGACATTACCTGTCAGTTCAATGGTCAGCATAGAGGAAAGCTAAAAATACAGATATCCCCTCTAGCAAGGTCGGTTGCCGTACCCACAAACACCGAAAAATCCATTTTAAGGCATCCATTGCTATCATCTTCCCCTCAACCGTTGTTCCCTGAAAATGACGATTCAGATGACGAAGATTCGGATACTGAAGGTAATATGCTACAAAACGATCATACAACACTATCTGTTGGCCAAAACTTGCTATTTGAAATCAAGATTATTGAATTCAGCGGCATTAGTGAATCTGAATTCACCGATATCCATATCCAGTTTAGACTCTCATCATTTGGTGGCATCCCACCTTATTCTCCTGCTGAAAAAATATTCGTAACGGAACCTGCCAGTTTCTTTGAAAACAACCCTGTTCAAGTAGATTTTGCTCAAACTATTTCCTTGGTTGTCACACCAAATGTGCTTCATGTCCTCATGTATGGATTCATCACATTTGAGGTCTATGGTCAAGCTCAGACCCGAGTCCTTTCACAACAGGAAAGATGGGATGACCAACGAGAAAAGCCTCCTCGGTTACCTGGAAACTCGGCCGAGTCAGTACATTCATCATCTGGCAGCAGTATGGCCGATTCGGCAACAGTGGGCTCACTTGAGCGCATCTCTGAAGAAGAGTTACTGACAGCAGAAAGACACGATGTCGTAGCATGGATTGAGATACAGGAACTCACTCCTTCAGGCGAGTATAGCCCAATGCAAATCACATGCAAGAACGCGCTGGACAAGGGCTACTTTACCTTACGACAAGGCTTACAGCGACGTATCTGCTTTACACTCATGCATACCTCAGGTCATCAATTTGAATGGACACGTATAAAGAGTGCATCTATTGGCCATGTTCGTCTGCTGGACGGTAAAGGTCGTATACTTGAAACACCTGCACAGGAAAATATACCCATCAAACTCCTAAGTCGTCAACAAGTCATCTATCGCTCGGACGGAACAAGTCAGCTGACAGCCCAGGCTGCTTGGGATAGCTCACAGCACGATTGCATCTTTTTAAACAGGCTGACGGATCTAAACAGTCGCGTCATTCTTAATCTCATGTGGGAAGTGGAAGCCGAACGATGTCAGAAGCCAATCCGGTTCAATATGGACATTGCAATTCAAATTCAAAGCAGAGACCGTTCCTTACGTACTAGTAAATTGTCAAGTCTCAAGAGGTTGTGGTACCCTACTGCTGCAAGAACACTGACGAAATACAGTGGCGTGTTTTCTGTGCATCTTAAGCCACCCATGACACGAAGAACAAGCCAGCTCTGGCGTTTGAATACTGCCACAAAGTATGTTCATGGTGAGGAACTTTTGGGATCATGGAAACCACGTGGCGTGTCTTTAGTACAGGACTTTAATTCGATGCAAGAGAGGATAAATCGTAAAAATCAAGTGGCCTTTACTCGTCAAATTTTGAATCTAAAGAAGCAACAAGTGCAGCAAATAGAACAAGTTAAAGAAGCAGCTACAGATGAACAAGAACGACAGTTAGCCTTATTGAAGAAAATAGTGGACTTGTGGCAGTTAAAACTTGGTACAGATAAAGAAATTGTAATCAGTCAAGATCCACCTGTGCAAATGGATTTGCCGATAACAGTTCAAAGAGAAGAGCTACAAAGCACTGCTAAGCTTTTGGCCGAAGTCGAGTTTGTGAATCAACCGTAAGTGATTTAAAAGATTTATTATGGGATGCTTAACTAATGAAACTAGAGCCAATGTGTCCAAGAAGGGATACTTGTTATACCAGCAGGATGCGGCAAAGGATCTTTGGATAAAGAGATGGTTTGTCATTCGTAGACCGTATATTTACATTTACACAAATGATACCGAGTCAGACGAACAGGGTGTCATTAATGTAGCCTCTGTTAGAATTGATTATAATGAAGCACTTGAAAAGATGATACAAGTAAGAGCACCTCTTAACTAAAAGTCATGGCTAATGCTTGTTTATAGAGAACTAATGTTTTTGCCGTTTATACCAATAATAATGCTTATACCTTACAAGCAGGAGCAAGACAGGAAATGATTCAATGGATTCAAATGATTGATCAAAAATTCCCTTTGGATACAATAACAACATGATCTTAATAAAACAACATGTTATGTAATACTTTTTATATTAATGAAATGTAGCCTATATCGCGTTATGTTTAGAAGGGGTTGTTACAATGAAATCATGGAAACCATTTAAAAATCTAGGAGACAGTTGAGGGCAGAAGATAGAATGCTTTACACCAGTTCATAATGAGTATCCTATAAATCGGCAACAAATACAGTACGACTTTTATTAACTCTACATGAACTTATACTACTTAATGAGCACGGTATGACTGACTTTACTATTAAGTTGATGAGATTGCTTTCTAGGTTTAGGCACCATAGGTTATTTATACTCTTCTATAAAAAACATATGTGAGCATATCTTTGCTTTTCCGTACTATGTAATAATACGAGTTTTCAATTCGAATTCTGTCCGCGATAAGGTTTATGTTTGATCAAATAAGCATTGTGAACTAATCCTGGGATTGCTATAGAATGGAAAAGTGGTTCTCCCATCTGCTTTTCTCAAGTATTTTGCATATATGAGGTTTATACCCAAGAATTCAGTACAAGATTGTTTGTTTAGTCTTATATATATTCTAAAAAAAAAATGCAAGTGATACTTGGAGAAAAAGTGTTTAAGCGTTCTATAACAAATAAAAATGAGCAAGGATACCAGTAGTAGGCAATCATCAAGGATAAATGCATTATCAAATCTAGATTAATTGTCTTGTAAAATGTTACTCTTGAAAAAGACAATATATGAATTTCTTAAATCGTGGAAGCTATACACTCTTTCCGGAAAGTAAATTTGCCTGTGATCGAATATAAATGCACCCAATGGTGAGAACAAAATTCATGCTGTACAAAATGTAAATTCGCCGTTACCAAGAATATTTTCGTAGTATCAGCCTTGACATCCATGGAGATACTGTATTTCCAAATTGAGATGTCGTATTGAAACCGTTGTAATGTTATCAGAGTAATAACAAATACAAAAAGAATATGGCTCACTATCTCATTTGACAGTATTATTAACAGGTGGACTGTCTTGGAGCTGAAACTAACCTAATATTAGAAATCGCCCTCTTTAGTCTC